CCCCCCCCCCCCCCATAAATAATGACCACTCCCTTAGCTTATTATCATAAAGTAGTTTCAGTCTCGATCGATGCAGGCGGGAACAAGGAGAAATTTCCATTGGCAACATGTTTTTTCTGGAAACGCTCATGCATCATGGGCACTGGTTAGATTATAGTGATTTGTCAACCTCGTTCCCAGGGCTTCTTTTCTCGTCTGACCGGAAACATAATGGTGCTTACTCAACAAAAATATTGCTACCCCCACTAGTGACACCAGACGAAGGGCCTTCGCTCGAAACGTCGAAATTCACTTTAGATAAATATCTTTTTCTTGAATCCAAATTTGACCCCCTCATGTGCCGAACGCATTAAAAACAATAGATAATCAGCTGAAATCCTCGTTATCTATTGTTTCTAATGCGTTCGGCACATGAGAAGCCCGACGTTTGAAACAGGCCTCTCAATTCTATTTATTTGCCTCCAAATACAAGTCCACTACATATGATGAAAATAATTTAATCTCTTGCAGCAATTTCGTTTGTACACGTAAATTTCAAATCTGTACAAGACATACAACAAGACAACGCTGACTCATTAGATATAACATATTGAAGTAAAAATACATGTAACTTTCAATTTTCTTCATGAACTATTAACACATTTCCGTGGCGACACTAGCCATAGCAACAGATCATGCCAGCGGCAAATTGTTAATGATTTGCATTATTCAAACCTGGCTTTAGAAATGCATTGTCTTTAACGTATTTAGGCTATTATTTATGTGGTTTATTAGCATAACATGACCAGTTGCCATGGCTAGCTTCCCCACTGTGATATTTATCTAGGAACAAGAAAATTATGCTACATCTCATAATTTATTATTAAGGAGAAAAGTACAATGATTGCTAGTACAAATGTTTATATCTTGTAATTCAAGCTTAAAGTGCCTATGACACGAAATTTCACCCCAAATGTTCATGACTGCATTGTAAAAATCACTTAAAATGACTTAATTTCTTTTATAGAATTTTGGTAACTTGCTTTCTTTGCAAGATATTTAACTTTGTTTCATATGCAAATATCACCGGTGTGACATCACATCGCACAATGACATTTTGAAAACGCAATATTTTATTTTGATAAAATATTTTTACAAGCAAATATACAGAGGGTTAATTACCAGTTATGAAATTAATACATATACAAGGGCAATTTTTAAGTTTTTTAGATACGTATTGTCGTATTCGTCAAGAAAACTATACTTTTCTGAAAACTCATTATGTGATGTGATGTGATGTCACACCGGTGATATTTGCATATGAAACAAAGTTGAATATCTTGACAAGGAAGCAAGTTACCAAAATTCTATAAAAGAAATTATTAAGTCATTTTAAGTGATCTTTACAATGCAACCATAAACATTTGCGGTGAAATTTCGTGTCATAGGCACTTTAATAATCTTCAAGTTTTTGTCCTCATACAACCAGTTCGTCTAGGTTTAAAGCAGACGAGGACTGATCCTTTCTTATGTCCAAATCAAACGCAGTCTCTGGGCCAAGGTAAATTTGAGATCCTGATGATGGTGATGGTGGCGCTTCTGAATGGTTATCCTCGTCATTGCTATTTACCACATCGACATGCTACACAGCATGAAGGCTTTCGTTATTTTTCCTTCTCTTGAAATACAATCGCAGCCCAATCACGATGTTCTTTGACTTTTCCTCATATGTAACTTCAGATGGAGTCTCTGTATTAAATCCATAGATTAAATCCTAACTTAATTCTAACCCTAATCACAGAGTAAACACCATACTCTTATTACTTTCATCGTAACGGATTTTTCCACTACGGTACGCCATGTTTTTAGCAAGTGCCCTAAATGGAGGCCTTCACCCCCCTGAAAACATATTGAAATTTAATGTTCCCTGTAAGTTAAGTTAAATACAGTAACTACAATAAATGAAATACTAAAATGTAAAAGTTCTATGAGTATCATTCAAGCGATAAAAAAATGTTCAAATTAGTGTGGCACGTTTCCTCCTCAATCCTAACATGCTGGAATGATGCATGTTTTTGAACTTTTAAAATATCCTCGCATATCGTTGACATCCTTCATGAGATTGGTCAACATCTGTATTTCCACATCGTACCAATCCTTGGGCGACTTTGCCCCGGTGGTAGCAAGCTTTGGCGGCAGACTACTCTGTACCACCTCTGAGAAACCAAGATTTCGTTGCTGAAAAGAGAAAATAGTGTAATCAAGCTTTCGTTGTTAGGAATGCAACTGCTTGAAAAATATAACTGGAGAATTTCGACGTTTGAAGCGAAGGAGTAAAGGCGGATTTCCAGTCCTCGCACGAAGCTCCTCGCAGCTCGCTGCGAGTGATGCATGAGCACTTTCATCCAATCACAATGCTAAACCGTTAATTTTAATTAGATGCAAGCACTCGCAGCGAGCTGCGAGGAGCTTCGTGCGAGGACTGGAAAACCGCCTTAAGTCGGTGCATTTTTAAGGATTCTTCAGTAGTGGGGCAAAACTGCCAAAGGGCCCATTTTCCTTGCCCTCCCCCCAGCATAGTATGCGGTCGCCGAAGGTGTGAGCAGAGTACCGCAGGCACGACTTAGCCAGGGGGGTTGAAGCTGGGGGCATGTCCCCCCGCCAGGACATTTTTAAAATTTGGGTCTCTGAAATAACATTTCCTGCATTCTGAGAACACATTTAAAAAAAAATCTTGGCTCTTCAAAACAAAGTTTTAAGGTGAAATTTGTAATAAATTGCATGCTAAACATTCAAACATAACATAACACCTCTTCAATATAATTTTGTTAATTTTGACCATGAGGATAGTGCTTTGCACCCTTAACTACACGGGTTGGGATTAAGATCGTATTTTAACGGAGGTTGTTGATATGGAAATTGTTCCTTACTGTTTTTCTGATCCAGCTTTTCATTTTGTTCAATTGATACTTGACCAGTTTAGTGTCCTTGTAACATTTCACACTTTTAAAATGCTGTCTGATATCTTTATTGTGAATTATATGGATCGCAATTCTCTTTGCGATTTCTTTCAGGAAGTTTTCGACCTGCAATTATAAAATCAAATATATAAGTATACCGATTATAGTACCAAATGAATCTGAATATTTTATATGTTTTATCTTACTGTTAAGGTTTTGTTAATCGATAATGCATTAAATCCAGGAATGACTTTCTTTGGCGGGTCCTTGCAACCTTTCTTATTTGGTGATTCAGACATCTTGATGCACTATGTGAAAAAATATTTAAGTGTTATCATTTTCAATAGGAATGTTACAGGCGTTGCTGGACCTCTAGGAAGAACATGCATGAGTTTACATCTCTGGATAGAGCTGTCCAGTATAAATAAAATTGCCTTAACTTTGAAAATCCTTATACCTCGGCTTCAAGACATCCTTTCAAGTTTTGGATACGTTCTTGTGACCCCTTCAGTTCATTATTCATGTTGTCGCATCTACTTATCTGGACTTGCTTTTTTAGACATTGAGCAAAGGTACCAGCAAACACCATGAGTGTAACGACAAAGGTAATCTCTAAGAAATTTTGAAACAAATTTATTCTCAGCTTCCATATTTAATGCAATCCTTACTCAGTATACCCAAGCTTGTCCTAATTCTTGTACTTAGTGAAACCTATCGGGGCTTTGGGCATCTCACTGGGTACAACTTAATGTTGAAAAGGTTTTTTAAATGGAAGTCTCGACGGTGTAAATTTCATACATTTTACACCCAACCAGGGGCAATTTCGAAAAATGCAACACTACACCCTCTGGCCGGAATCGATTATCTCTGCGAACGTAGGGACTATACAAAAGTTAGAAACAAGTTACTTCAAAATGAGTAACGAGCACAGTACCTGAGGTTTTTTTTGTAAACAAAACTGCCATGATTTCTTTTCAAAAAACTTTATCTTCCCAAACAGTTGTGTGTGAATCGACTTTTCAAGTGAATGCATTTCACCTCTTGCCTGCCTGCTTTTATATAAGCAACTGCAGTTGTAAAGTCCCATTTTTGGTTCAAAATTAACCCTACAACTTCCCCCAAAAGTTAAAAAGTAAAACCATACCTCTGACGTTTCACTCCCGCGCATTCCCATACAATCATGTTCATTGTTTTGCGTCAAGATCCGTAACTTATTATAAAGTTGTCCAGCAAATTGTCGAATTCCGCTGTTTGTTTTGCTCAGTAGGGTTCAAAATAAAACTTCATCTTACTACAAATGAAACCTCTTCAAATTTCCCCTTTTTAACAACATGTACCTAATGTGAAGGTTGTTTTCGAAAGAGTTTGAAGAGTTCATGGTAATACGCAGGTATCTACTTGTTTTTCTGGCGAGATATTCACGGTTTTATTCTGCAAAGTATGCAGCAGAGGACGCACAGGGGTGTTTATTATAATCACCATATAATTTAGTTAAAATAGCTTATGGATACAGTTGGAATAGAAACTAATTTTGCCGCCCAAAGACTTTCCCTAAAATTGTCTAACGTTAGACAGAAAAGGTTAATTGGGTTTCAGTTAAATATTTTGTATGATGCCATGCATGATCAACTTCGGATGTACTGATAGTTGAGGCTTAAAGTTTCTGTGATCACAGTTGGATTTTTTTGCATGTGGGTAAATTCTAAGTTTGGAAGGATTTGTAAGAAGTGTTTGAGGGAACTGATTCTGTGTTTGAGTCAATTCCCTCAAACAGTTCTTACAAATCTGTCAAAACTTAAAATTTACCTATGCAAAATCCCTACTGTGATCACAAAACTTTGATTGTGTAAACCTAGCTTCAAGGGAGCGAGATTGTGATAGTAAATGCTCCCATAACATGCACAGTTGCCAACAAACACAAGGCAATACATATTGTTTACACCGTTAGATACACGTTTCTGTTCATGGTGGCAAATTTCAAATGCTCTCACGACTTAGGGCATCGCTGGATTACAGGTATTTACTACCAAACACAAGGTATTACATCACTAGTATAGTAACTGTAGATTTATAGTCATTCTGATAACTGACTTTTTTAGCGTTGACCACCATCTGCTGTATCACCCACCAAAACACAAAGTCCATTCATGAAGTAGGTTTCAGTGAATTGTTTTACATCGCGCACCATAAATGATCATCAGCTTCAAATATGTTGACACTTATGGTAGCTAGCAAATGATATTAAATGCATGGTTCCATTAAATATATACCTCCCACAAAACATAAAGTAGAACCAATTAGTCATGATAACTGTCTTTTTTGAATGGATTATTTTGTTTTCTAAGGGCGTGTTCACGTGAGTTTCCCAGTTTTGTTTAATAGCTTGGCTCATATGAACAGACCCTAAATTTGAACATATTAAAAATGTTTTAACTCGGCCAAACTTTAACCATAAAAGGGGTTAGCTTATTATAAAGTAGTTTCAGTCTCGGTGCAGGCGAGAACGGGGGGAAATTTCCGTTTGCAAAATTTCATACAAAATTTCATGGAATTGCATGGAAAAATTTCCATGGCTTATCTGGAAACCCTCATGCATCATGGGCACTGGTTAGTTTATAGTGATTTGTCAGCCTCGTACCCAGGGCTTCTTTTCTCGTCTGACCGCAATCTCGTTCCCCAAGCCTGCGATCCTCGTGAAGGACCGCGAGACTCTGGGATAATCCATTTCAGGGAGGAATCTGATTGGCCGTTGAAATGGAATGCGTAGTTCAATCTTAGCCAGGATTCCTGGCTTCCGGCAACGGATTATCCCAGAGCCTCTCGTTCCTTCCCAGGGATCGCAGGCTCGGAGAACGAGATTGGTTTGACCGGAAACATAATAGCGCTCACTACTATTAACTCCAAAATATTGCTATCCCACTAGTAACACCAGACAAAGGGCCTTCGCTCGAAACGTCGAAATTCTCTTTAGATAAATATCTTTTTCTTGAAGCCAAATTTGACCCCCAGGCACGCGTGTATAACGAAAGCCTATTTAGATGCACGTTTATTAGCGGTTAAAATAAACCGTCTGTCTAAACGGTTCAGACAGACGGTGAAGACCCAGGTCACAGAATAAGTCACACAGAAGGTCGACTTCTTTATCAGTTTCCTATGATTTTCCTATGATTTTGGCGTAACCGTAATTCGTCATCAAAATGCTGACGCCATGATCGCAGCCAGTGCGCGTTTGAGAGGCATTCACCCCCTGATTATATTCAAAATGGTGGACGTCCAGGGGGGGAATGCCTCTCAAACGCGCACTGGCTAGGACCATGGCGTCAGCATTTTGATGACGAATCATGGCGTGGCAGCGGTTACTCGAGTCACAGAATAAGAAGGTACAGCAGAAGTGTAACTCAAGCAAGTATTTGTCCGCGTTTTTACAAGCGATTCATCATCAATCACGCCATCCTGGCTAGTACAACCGGCACTTTGTACCTACCAAAACCTGATAAAAACTTCCGGTTGTACTAGCCAGGATGGCGTGAGCGCGTTAAAATTTTCGTGGACGTAAAACAATAAGGGAGCCGACTCGAGTTACGCTTCTGCTGTACCTTCTTATTCTGTGCCCGAGTCGACCTTCTGTGTACCTTATTCTTTGCCCAGGTGTTTATATCTGAAAAGACTGGAACTGGCCTTCAAATTTCCGGTTGGAGGTAGCGTTTTTCAATGCTCCTCCCCAACCTCATCGCCTGGGCTTCACGGCTGCCTCAGGTTGACTCTTTGCAGGGAAAGACGAAATATTCATGAGTGCAATCATCTCGTGATCCGCCCGACGCCCCTTGTACATTATTCACTTTTCACCCAATGGCCTCGTTTTCGTGTCAAATACTTACTCGTGTTTTGTGCTTAGTAGGGTTGAAAGTAGGGTTAATTGAGCCCAAGTTAATTGAGCCCAAGAACAGCAAGAAACAAATCCGTCCAGGAAAACATGGGAATAAAATCTTTATCCGCCCCTGACATGCTAACATAAGTTGACATGGAAACGAGGCCATTGGTAAAAGAGAATAATCGGTAAGGTCTATTATTTTTTACTGACTTTGGCAACGATTTATCATTTGATAACAAATTTATTATACACCGATTAATTACATTTATTAATTACATTAATTACAGTTGAATGAAAATAATTTAATATTTTGCAGCAGCTTCGTTTGTAAACGTAGCCTGAAAACAGACCTACGTTTCGCGAAACGTAGGTCTGTTTTCAGGCTATTGTACACGTAAATTTAAAATCTGCACAAGACCAATCTCGTTCCCAGAGTATGCCTGTTCGCGGGTTATGTAGTGGCATGCCACTACATAACAGTGGCGTAACGTTATATCAGGGGGGCCCCGGTTCAAAATTTTTGATGCCCCCCCCCCTAGGGGTCCAGGGCATGCTCACCCGGAAAATGTTTGAATCTAGACTCTCTAAAATGCCATTTCCCCGTCTTTGGGGAGAGATGTTACAGAATTCTGATGGTCAGAAAACGACATTCTGACATATCAGAGGACCTGATACCCCGGGTTTGCCCGGTCCGAGCCCATAGTAGTTACGCCACTGCTACATAACCCGCGAACAGGCATACTCTGGGAACGAGATTGGTGCAAGACATACAACAAGGCAACGCTGACTCATATTAGATATAACATATTGAAAGTAACAATACATGTAACCCTCAATTTTCTTCATGAATTATTGCTAGCCATAGCAACAGGCTATACTATGCAAATTTTCAATGATTTGCATTTTGCATTATTCAAACCTTTAGAAATGTATTGTCCGTAACTTATTTAGACGCAGGTTTATTAGCATAGCATGACCAGTTGCCATGGCTAGCTTCCCCACTGTGACATTTATCTAGGAACAAGAAAATTATGCTACATCTCATAATTTATTATTAATTAAGTAGAAAAGTACAATGTTCAGATGCTATAATGATGTATGTGGTCTACGATAATGATTGCTAGTACGAATGTGTATATCTTTTAGCGGAAGCTTAATAATCTTCAAACGTTTTTGTTCTCATACAACCAGTTCGTCTAGGTTTAAAGCAGACGAGGACTGATCCTTTCTTACGGTTCTGAATGGTTATCCTCGTCATTGCTATATTTACCACATCGACATGTTCCACGGCATGAAGGCTTTCGTTATTTTTCCTTCCCTTGAAATACAATCGCAGCCCAATCACGATGATGAGCGCTGCTGCCCCAAGTGAAATTCCAGTAGGGATAATCGTGTTCTTTGACTTTTCCTCATATGTAACTGCAGATGGAATCTCTGTATTAAATCCATAGATTAAATCCTAACTTAATTCTAACCCTAATCACAGAGTAAATACCATACTCTTATTACTTTCATCGTAACGGATTTTTCCACTACGGTGCGCCATGTTTTTAGCAAGTGCCCTAAATGGAGGCCTTCACCCCCCTGAAAACATATTGAAATTTAATGTTCCCTAACTTCCCTGTAAGTTAAGTTAAATACAGTAACTACAATAAATGAAATACTAAAATATAAAAGTTCTACGAGTATCATTCAAGCGATAAAAAAAGTTGTTCAAATTAATGTGGTACGTTTCCTCCTCAATCGTAACATGCTGGAATGATGCATGTTTTTGAACTTTTAAAATATCCTCGCATATCGTTGACATCCTTCATGAGATTGGTCAACATCTGTATTTCCACATCGTACCAATCCTTGGGCGACTTTGCCCCGGTGGTAGCAAGCTTTGGCGGCAGACTCTGTACAACCTCTGAGAAACCAAGATTTCGTTGCTGAAAAGAGAAAATAGTGTAATCAAGCTTTCGTTGTTAGGAATGCAACTACTTGAAAAATATAACTGGAAAATTTCGACGTTTGAAGCGAAGGAGTAAAGGCGGATTTCCAGTCCTCGCACGAAGCTCCTCGCAGCTCGCTGCGAGTGATGCATGAGCACTTTCAGTACCCAATCACAATGCTAAACCGTTAATCCTAATTAGATGCAAGCACTCGCAGCGAGCTGCGAGGAGCTTCGTGCGAGGACTGGAAAACCGCCTTAAGTCGGTACATTTTTAAGGATTCTTCAGTGGTGGGGCAAAACTGCCAAAGGGCCCATTTTCCTTGCCCTTCCCCCAGCATAGTATGCGGTTGCCGAAGGTGTGAGCAGAGTACTGCAGGCACGAGTTAGCTGGGGGGGGGGGGTTGAAGCTGGGGGCATGTCTCCCCTCCGCCTGAAAATTTTTAAAATTTGGGTCTCTGAAATAGCATTTCCTGCATTCTGAGAACGCATTTTAAAAAATCTCAGCTTCTCAAAATAAATTTTTAATGGTGAAATTTGTAATAAATTGCATGCTAAACATTCAAACATAACATAAGTTTAAGTATGCTCACCAACAAATTTTGTTTTTTAAACTTCTTTTCAATGTTAATTTAAACTCATTTACTCAATACTGGTCCTAGGGCCCTGGCTTTGGGGAAATAGGCCATTTTTTTTCTTCAGTGGTACTGGTGGGGCAGGGGAAGGGACCCAGTGGAGCAAATGCCCCACCAGTCCATGGTATTAAAAAATGCCTTGCAGTAAGTAGTAGTAACTCCAGATGAAGGGCCTTCGCTGTAAACGTCGAAATTCTCCAGTTATATTTTTCAAGTATAGTTGCGTCGCTACCAACGAAAGCTTGTTATTTATATTGGCACTGGTACAGAAAGTTCATAATTAAGTGATTACAACTAAACTAAAAGTAACTTTGAAAAAGCGAACTACTATAACCACTGTGGTACCAATACCTCTTCAATATAATGGTTAATTTTGACCATGAGGATAGTGCTTTGCATCCTTAACTACACGGGTTGGGATTAAGATCGTATTTTAACGGAGGTTGTTGATATAGAAATTGTTCCTTACTGTTTTTCTGATCCAGCTTTTCATTTTGTCCAATTGATACTTGACCAGTTTAGTGTCCTTGTGACATTTCACACTTTTAAAATGCCGTCTGATATCTTTATTGTGAATTATATGGATCGCAATTCTCTTTGCGATTTCTTTCAAGAAGTTTTCGACCTGCAATTATAAAATCAAATATAAGTATATAGATTATAGTACCAAAACTTGGCCGAATATTTTATATATTTTATCTTACTGTTAAGGTTTTGTTAATCGATAATGCATTAAATCCAGGTATGACTTTCTTTGGCGGGTGCCTGCAATCTTTCTTATTTGGTGATTCAGATATCTTGATGCACTATGTGAAAAAATATTTAAGTGTTATCATTTTCAATAGGAATGCTACAGGCGTTGCTAGACCTCTAGGAAGAACATGCATGAGTTTACATCTTTGGATAGAGCTATCCAGTATAAATAAAATTGCCTTAACTTTGAAAATCCTTACCTCGGCTTCAAGACATCCTTTCAAGTTTTGGATACGTTCTTGTGACCCCTTCAGTTCATTATTCATGTTGTCGCATCTACTTATCTGGACTTGCTTTTTTAGACATTGAGCAAAGGTACCAGCAAACATCATGAGTATAACGACCAAGGTAATCTCTAAGATGAATTTTGAAACAAATTTATTCTCAGCTTCCATATTTAATGCAATCCTTACTATACCCAAGCTTGTCCTAATTCTTGTACTTAGTGAAACCTATCGGGGCTTTGGGCATCTCACTGGGTACAACTTAGTGTTGAAAGGTTTTTTTTAAATGGAAATCTCGACGGTGTAAATTTCATACATTTTACACCCAACCAGGGGCAATTTCGAAAAATGCAACACTACACCCTCTGGCAGGAATCGATTATCTCTGCGAACGTAGGGACTATACAAAAGTTAGAAACAAGTTACTTCAAAATGAGTAACGAGCAGAGTACCTGAGGTTTTTTTTGTAAACAAAACTGCCATGATTTCTTTTCAAAAAACTTTATCTTCCCAAACAGTTGTGTGTGAATCAACTTTTTAAGCGAATGCATTTCACCTCTTGCCTGCCTGCTTTTATATAAGCAACTGCAGTTGTAAAGTCCCACTTTTGGTTCAAAATTAACCCTACAACTTCCCCCAAAAGATAAAAACTAAAACCATACCTCTGACGTTTCACTCCCGCGCGTTTCCATACAATCATGTTCATTGTTTTGCGTCAAGATCCGTAACTTATTATAAAGTTGTTCAGCAAATTGTCGAATTCCGCTGTTTGTTTTGCTCAGTAGGGTTCAAAATAAAACTTCATCTTACTACAAATGAAACCTCTTCAAATTTCCCCTTTTTAACAACATGTACCTAATGTGAAGGTTGTTTTCGAAAGAGTTGAAGAGTTTTAAGAGTTCGTGGTAATACGCAGGTATTTACTTGTTTTCCTGGCGTGATATTCACGGTTTTATTCTGCAAAGTATACAGCAGGGGAGAGACAGGGTGTTTATTATAATACCATATAATTTAGTTAAAATAGCTTATGAATACAGTTGGAATAGAAACTAATTTTGCCGCCCAAAGACTTTCCCTAAAATTGTCTAACGTTATATAGACAGGATTGGTTGGGTTTGAGTTAAATATTTTGTATGATGCCATGTATGATCAGCTTCGGATGTACTGACAGTTGAGGCTTAAATTTTCTGTGATCACAGCAGGAATTTTGCATGTGGGTAAATTCTAAGTTTGGAAGGATTTGTAAGAAGTGTTTGAGGGAACTGATTCAGTGTTTGAGTCAATTCCCGCAAACAGTTCTTACAAATCTTTCAAAACATGTAACTTACCTATGCAAAATTCCTACTGTGATCACAGAAACTTTGATTGTGTAAACCAGGCTTCATGGGAGCGAGATTGTGATGGTAAATGCTCTAATAACATGCACAGTTTCCAACAAACACAAGGCAATAATACATATTGTTTACACCGTTATACATGTTTCTGCTCATGGTGGCCAATGGACCTTTCCCCTTATAACTAAAATTTCGATCTAGACAAAAATTTCATCACAGCTTGAAAGAGCATCACAAAATTAGTAATATTCCAAAGTTTTGTTGCAAAATCTTGTAAAATGCGGATAATATAGCCTTGAGAAGTTTGCCGTTTTTCAGTCATTTTGTATTACAAACGGGAAATTGACATACGATTCGGGTGTTGGGGCTGCAATTTCCCGTTTGTAATACAAAATGACTGAAAATTGCAAACTTCGCAAGGCTCTATTTTCCTCATTTTACAACATTTCGCAACGAAACTTTTGAATATTACTAATTTTGTGATGCTCTTTCAAGCTATGATGAAATATTTGTCTAGACTTGCCTAGATCAAAATTTTGGTTATAAGGGGAAAGGTCTATTTCAAATGCTCTCACGACTTAGGGCGTGAATTCTGGACTGATTCTGTGTTTGAGTCAATTCCCTCAAACAGTTCTTACAAACCGTCAAAACATAGAACTTACCTATGCAAAATCCCTACTGTGATCACAAAACTTTGATTGTGTAACTACCAGGCTTCAAGGGAGCGAGATTGTGATGGTAAATGCTCCCATAACATGCACAGTTGCCAACAACAAACACAAGGCTATAATACATATTGTTGACGGCACCGTTATATGTTTCTGCTCATGGTGGCAAATTTCAAATGCTCTCACGATTAGGGCGTGAACATTAACGCTGGATTACAGGTTATATTTACTACCAAACACAAGGTATTACATCACTAGTATAGTAACTATAGTCATTCTGATAACTGTCTTTTTTAGCGTTGACCTGCACCATCTGCTGTATCACCCACCAAAACACAAAGTCCATTCATGAGGTAAGTTTCAGTGATGTATTTTACATCGTATAACACCCGATTGGGGTATCAATTTCCCGTTTGTAATACAAAATTACTGAAAAACGGCAAAATTCGCAAGGCTATATTATCCGCATTTTACAACATTTCGTAACGAAACTTCGGAATATTACTAATTTAATGATGCTCTTTCAAGCTGTAGTAAACTTTTTGTCTAGACTTGTCTAGATCAAAATTTTAGTTATAAGGTTAAAGGACCATTAGGGATCGTTCATTATTTATACCTGGGGTTGGTACCAAAGAGAAACGAAAAACACTGTAAATTTTTTATTTACCCAACCTCAACATTGGTCAAAATAATGTTTACCCAACCCATGTGTTACTGTACTTCATAATAATTAAACACACAAGATTATGGTGACAGAAATCAAGTTGCCTAAATTCTCAAAGCTCGTGACTCACACTCAAACTCACTGAGTGTGCCAAAGCAATCACGTTCCTGCTGACCAATGATAGAGTCCTTCCTCAATCACTGATGGTCTATTTTGGTACAGAATGTGTTGACTATTGTACACATTTTTCTTCATATTTTCCAATGCATGGTAATTTTGGTTTTATTTTATGGACAGACAGCCATAAATGTTTTTACCCAACCCATGAGGTAGTCAAAAACTTGATTACCCAACCCATATCTCTTCGGTACCAACCCCTGGTATAAATAATGAACGGTCCCTTAGTCATCCCGGTTTGCCGGGATTCTAACCTGAGTGGGGTGAATTATTTTTCTCACCACTTTACAGAGGTCACAACTAGCGCAGGTGACTCGCCCACAGCCGGGCTGGTTGAACGCAAATTTAACTGTATATGCATTGTAACTCATGCAGATCTCACTGAGGTGAGTTTCCCAGTTTTATGTTCGGCCGAGTTAAATGTTTTAACTCGGCCAAACTTTAATCATAAAAGGGATTAGCTTATCATAAAGTAGTTTTAGTCTCGGTGCAGGCGAGAACAGGGAAAAATTTCCGTTGGCAACATGGCTTATCTGGAAACCCTCGTGCATCATGGGCACTGGTTAGATTTATATAGTGATTTGTCAACCTCGTACCCAGGACTTCTTTTCTCGTCTGCATGACCGGAAACATAATAGCGCTCACTCCTCCCCATTCAAATAAATATGAATACCCCCACTATTATCTCCAAAATATTGCTACCCCACCAGTAACTCCAGACGAAGGGCCTTCGCTCGGAACGTCGAAATTCACTTTCAGTGGCGGAAATCTTGGTGGGGCAGTACGCCCCCTCCACCTTCCAGAAAATTGACGAATTTTCGGAAATTTTGATCGAAAAGAGGGCTAAAAACAGTCTTTTCGAGTGCAAATGGGGGTATGTCGAAAATTTGAAAGTTTTGTCGGAAATTTAGGAGGCTTTGCCCCCCCCCCCCGGAAAAAGTGAATTTCCGCCACTGTTCACTTTAGATAAAAGAATATATCCGGTATTAGAACAATAACCTTCGTTGTAGCCAATCAGATGCCTGTTTGATGTGGATTTGGCCAGAGCCCCTCGTCGCGCTCCGTTGACCGCGCGTAAGAAGGGCTCTGGGTACGAGAATGATATCATCATTGACTGATTGAGCGCTCTTCGCACTGCCTTCTCCGCAGGCGCTCGTTGCGTCGTGGGAAGGTCACACGCAATCTGGTGAGGGCCTGCGGAATTTTGTAAAAAAAATGGCGCCGGCAAGTGAATTTATACATAATCTTGAATATAAACAGGATATAAAAAAGCGGCGTGAAACTTGTAAATTAAAATGGTGACTCTAAGGACGTGGAAGGAAGCATTTTTAACGATAAGGTTTGTTGTCCACACCAACGTTGCACGAATAAAACTGCCTTCTTTAACGAAGCAGGTTTAGAACAATATTTATTCATTTTACAAGATTCCGCAGGCCCTCTCGAAATCGTGACCTTCCCATGACACAACGAGGGCCTGCAGAGGAGGCAGCTCCTCCCATGCGTGAAAAGACTGGAACTGGCCTTCAAATTTCCGGTTGGAGGTAGCGTTCCAGAACGTTCCAGTTAGTTATATTTATTTCAATGTTCCTCCCCAGGCATTGCAGGGAAAGACAAAATATTCACATGAGTGCAATCATCTCATGATCCGTCCGGCGCCCCTTGTACATTATTCACTTTTCACACAATGGCCTCGTTTTCGTGTCAAATTCTTACACTCATGCATGTTTTGTGCTTAGCAGGGTTGAAAATGACTTTAAGAAACAACTGAATCCGTCCAGGAAAACACTGGAATATAATTTGTACCTATCTGCCCCTGACATGCTAAAATAAGTTACAATGGAAACGAGGCCATTGGTAAAAGAGGGTGTTGATGGGGTATAAAAAATACTGTTTATCGTTTCAGAACACTTTTCAAAAATTTACCGTTAAAATACCAAAATGTTACTTATTATCGTTACCGTTAAAATACCCAAAATTTTTACCCTCTCCCCATCTAGAACCTCGTAAAAGAGAATGATTGATAAGGTCTATTATTTTTGACTGACTTTGGCTACGATTTATCATTTGATAACAAATTTATTATGATTAATTACATTTATTAATTATATATACATTAATTACAGTTGTTGTTGTTGTTGTTGGTTGGTGGGTTTTGTGTAAGCGTCACAGGGCAGCAGATAGTGGTCAATTTCAGAAATGTTGAAATTTATAGAAGCAAGAAAATTAAACTACATTAGTTCATTTTCCTTCAAATATATAAGACTAGTACATATAATGAAAATAATTTAATCTCTTGCAGCAACTTCGTTTGTACACGCGTAAATTTAAAATCTGTACAAGACAAGGCAACGCTGACTCATCAGATATAACATATTGAAAATAAAAATACATGTAACCCTCAATTTTCTTCATGAATTATTAACACATTTCCGTGGCGAAACTAGCCATAGCAACAGATCATGCTATCGGGAAATAGTTAAGGATTTGCATTATTCAAACCTGGCTTTAGAAATGCATTGTCCGTAACTTATTTAGACGCAGATTTATTAGCGTAGCATGATCATGACCAGTTGCTATGACTAGCTTCACCACTGTGACATTTATCTAGGAACAAGAAAATTATGCTACATTTCATAATTTATTATTAAGTAGAAAAGTACAATGTTAGCGGATGCTATAATGATGTATGTGGTCCACGATGATTTCTGGTACAAATGTTTATATATTTGAACTCAAGCTTAATAATCTTCAAACGTTTTTGTTCTCATACAGCCTGTTCGTCTAGGTTTGATCCTTTCTTATGTCCAAATCAAACGCAGTCTCTGGGCCAAGGTAAATTTGAGATCCTGATGATGGTGATGGTGGCGCTTCTGAATGGTTATTCTCGTCATTGCTATTTAGCACATCGACATTCTCCGAAGCACCAGTGCTTTCGTTATTTGTCCTTCTCTTGAAATACAATCCCAGCCCAATCACGATGATGAGCGCTGCTGCCCCAAGTGAAATGCCGATAATGATTATCTTGTTGTTTGACTTTTCCTCAGGTGTATCTGTAGAAGATTCGGAAGAAAATATTTGGGTGAATTTCTGTATTAAATCCTTACCCTAATCACAGAGTAGAAATACCATACGAGGTCTCACTTCTTATTAATTTCACCGAAACCCAAGTGCCCTGTCACCCCCCCTGAAAACATGTTGAAATTTAATGTTCCAGGGGGTGAATGCCTCACTTTAGGGCACTTGCTAAGAACATGGCCGTCAGCCAGAAATGCGCAGTAAAAACTACCTTATGTTAAACCATAGCCGATGGAAGGGAAGATGGCTGTGAAACTCATTAGAATAACAAAATAACTCGTTATCTATGTTAGTCAACGTTTATTCATAAATCTGGGCCTTCACCGTCACGTGTGTATTGTATTTTTGGCAAATCCACCAATAAAGATAGGAGCTCTATTTGCCTGCGCCCGCCTGTGACTTTATAAGGAAGTCACAGGCAGCCCCCCTGTGGGCATGCCCAGCTGTGATTCGTAATTATTGGATATTTATAGGTCAATGGTATTCCCCTCATGAATTTAATACATGCATCACCTAATTTTCCCCTTTGTCCCTTGACACATATACGTATATATTTCGTGTTTTTAAAGCAAACATTGTCATTTTTTCCGTATAAAACACACAGTAAATACATATTCTATTGTCGTTTCAATTATAAAACGCAAACGATAAAAATTGTCGGTTACACGTCGTAATTGTTCAGAGAGAAAAAGTGTTTGACAGCTAGAGTCATTATACATTCAAAGTACTTCACTTCTTGATAAGTTTTGTTATCGTTCAATATTGGCTTGCTTACCTTTGACACAACTGATCTTACATGATTCCGAGTCGTCGCCCTCGGCTTCACAACCAGTTTCAGGATTCTGAGGGCAATTAATGCAATCGTCGATAAAACCAGCTTTAAATTGACCGTCCGGACACAGCTCTGTCGAAGCAAGAACGAAAGCTATACTGCAGATAAGCGCCAGAAAGCCAAGACCAAGTGTCATGTTTTGTTGGATAATATGTTACATATTTTTTTTAAATATATTGATAAAAATGTTATCTGCTTCATTCACAAAGGCAGTTAAAAATGGTGTAAATGATTTGACTAGATTAATACTCATTTTATTCTTGCAGTTTATTGTGATGTCAAAAGACCTATTGTGTAGAATATAATGGTTCTAAGAATAAGCTGTTACGTTAGCATTATTAATTGCAGGGGGCCGCGGAAATAATATTATATAGCAGTGTCAAAGTTCAATTTTCCTGCTTGCCGATTGGACAAAACCGTATCACGTGCCAGTCCACAAAACGTCATGTTGCGCAAACACAACGTCGTAACCAGGGTCTTTCCTCCAGTGGCGTAAATCTAAGCTATGGGCCCCTGCAAACAAGTTATTACAAATCTGTTCACAAGCTGTCAACAAGTTGTCTTCGCACTGTTTGTTCCCAGTTCTTGTAACAAGTTTGGACCAAGCTGTTAACAACTTGTAACAAGCTTGATGGCATTATCAGACTTGTCACAAGGTTGTTCTAACAAGTCTGATACAGTCATGATAAACAAGAATGTTACAAGGTTGACGACACAAGGTTGTAACAATACCGCTATATCATGACTGTATCGGACTTGTTGGAACAACCTTGCAACAAGCCTGATAATATCAACAAGGTTGTTACAAATTGTTAACAGCTAATTGTTCCAAACTTGTTGACAACTTGGGACAAGCAGTGCGAACACAACTTGTTGATGGCTTGTTGACAAACTTGTTACAAGATGTGAGATTTTTGCGTGTGTAGTGATTCGTCAGCCTCGTTCCCAGTGCTTCATTTCTTGTCTGACCGGAAACATAATGGCACAGAAGTCACAGTATAATAATGGTGCGCACTCCTTCCTCAAAGTACTCTCTGTTGAAAAAGACGAAACATTCATGAGTGCAGTCATCTCGTGCGTGCAGTCATCCCGTGACCGCTCCTTGTATACAAGGGATTCATTAGAAAGTCCTTGTATACAAGGGATTCATTAGAAAATCCTTGTATACAAGGGATTCATTAGAAAGTCCTTGTATACAAGGGATTCATTAGAAAGTCCTTGTATACAAGGGATTCATTAGAAAGTCCTTGTATACAAGGGATTCATTAGAAAGTCCTTGTATAAAAGGGATTCATTAGAAAGTCCTTGTATACAAGGGATTCATTAGAAAGTCCTTGTATTCGAGGGATTCATTAGAAAGTCCTTGTATACAAGGGATTCATTAGAAAGTCCTTGTATACAAGGGATTCATTAGAAAGTCCTTGTATACAAGGGATTCATTAGAAAGTCCTTGTATACAAGGGATTCATTAGAAAGTCCTTGTATAAAAGGGATTCATTAGAAAGTCCTTGTATACAAGGGATTCATTAGAAAGTCCTTGTATACAAGGGATTCATTAGAAAGTCCTTGTATACAAGGGATTCATTAGAAAGTCCTTGTATACAAGGGATTCATTAGAAAGTCCTTGTATACAAGGGATTCATTAGAAAGTCCTTGTATACGAGGGATTCATTAGAAAGTCCTTGTATACAAGGGATTCATTAGAAAGTCCTTGTATACAAGGGATTCATTAGAAAGTCCTTGTATACAAGGGATTCATTAGAAAGTCCTTGTATAAAAGGGATTCATTAGAAAGTCCTTGTATACAAGGGATTCATTAGAAAGTCCTTGTATACAAGGGATTCATTAGAAAGTCCTTGTATACAAGGGATTCATTAGAAAGTCCTTGTATACAAGGGATTCATTAGAAAGTCCTTGTATACAAGGGATTCATTAGAAAGTCCTTGTATACGAGGGATTCATTAGAAAGTCCTTGTATACAAGGGATTCATTAGAAAGTCCTTGTATACAAGGGATTCATTAGAAAGTCCTTGTATACAAGGGATTCATTAGAAAGTCCTTGTATAAAAGGGATTCATTAGAAAGTCCTTGTATACAAGGGATTCATTAGAAAGTCCTTGTATACAAGGGATTCATTAGAAAGTCCTTGTATACAAGGGATTCATTAGAAAGTCCTTGTATACAAGGGATTCATTAGAAAGTCCTTGTATAAAAGGGATTCATTAGAAAGTCCTTGTATAAAAGGGATTCATTAGAAAGTCCTTGTATAAAAGGGATTCATTAGAAAGTCCTTGTATAAAAGGGGTTCATTAGAAAGTCCTTGTATACAAGGGATTCATTAGAAAGTCCTTGTATACAAGGGATTCATTAGAAAGTCCTTGTATACAACGGATTCATTATAAAGTCCTTGTATACAAGGGATTAATTAGAAAGTTTCAGATTCATAGTGAACTACCTGAAAAATACAAGGAGAACTTCGGGGGTCGGGAAAATTACGTGAGTTTTTATTCTAAACTAGTGAATATAAAAACGATCACGTGACAAAATCTGTTGTCAAAACAAAGTGTAAACAAAAATATTTGTAAAACACATTACATAATATATGAACACAAATATACAGTCGGTTGCTCAGCACCGGATATCCCTGTACTATTCACTTCCTGACCAATACAAAATGACTTCCCGTTTTATTCCGGTAACAGACGAGCAACGTTTTTTACTAAACGAACAGTGGCGTAACCAAGGGGGGGGGCGGGGGCGACCGCCCAATCGCCAATTGGGGGCGACCGCAATCGTCAATTGGAGGGGGGTGACCGCCCCCTCCCCCAATCGCCACAAAAACCATTCTCTGAAAAGGCTAAATTTTTTTTTTGGGGGGGGTACATGTTACATGCTCGAAGCTGAAACTAAGTTAAGCACGTCTCAACAGAGGAAAACGACGATATACTGGAGGAACTTGATTTGTAAAATCTCGTTTAAAGCAGTTGCATTCTCGTACCCAGAGCCCTTCTTATGCGCGTTCGACCGAGCGCGACGAGGGGCTCTGGCCAAATCCATAACCGGATACCATAAAAACACGGTTAGTGGTTAGGGTTAGGTGGGGGTTAGGTTTAAAATTAAGGCAATGTCTTAATTTGAACGCTTTTAATTTGAACGCATAGCCTTCATTTTCGGAAGAGATCGAGCTAGTTGAAGATACAACCTCGTACCCAGGGCTTCTGCGCTTATTGCTCTATTCCAAATTCTTGAAATCGCATTTCAGGAACTCTAGATTTCAAACTATTTTCCCGGAGGGAGGCATGCCCCCGGACCCCTTTAAACGGTCTCACGCCTTCGGCATTGGCTTCGCCCCTCCCCCCTCCTCCCAAAAAAATGAAGGTCTAGCTACGCCACTATAAACAAAGCTGCGGTTTCGCCAAGGCAAAGAAAGTCTCAAAGTTTTGTTTAACAGTGACACTGTACAGAGGTATTCGTTAATGCTATTTCCAATGAATAAAATTATTAGAGCTTGTAAATACAGTTTTGTTTACGACTATTAATATGCGAGCATTTTTGTTGCGGTATGGTATTTTGAATATCCTAGCACTATTCTGTCTATTCACCTCCGATCCAATTAGCCTTTCTCACGATGACGAATATGCGCCATTTTTGGGTGGCATCTAATTCTCGTTAACCAATGACGATTAAAACAATGTGAAACGCAATTTTTAAAATAAACTAACCATTTACAAAGCAAATTTACCATCATTCGTCCAAAAAAATATAAAAACTCGCTGTAATGTGGACTCAGTATCTCACAGACTTCGGCTGAAAAGCCACTCCCAGAAAAGGCGGCGTGAGAAAGGCCAATCGGTGAATAATATTTTCATTATTTTCTAGTTGAGTCTGCTTTCTTCGATGTACCGCGGGATGTATACAGGTTGTGTATAACCCGTGAATAAATAATTAGATTAAACTTGTCGACAAAACTCTTTATGGATAGTCTTTGAAATTGATGAAATCTTGTTCGAAAACCTCCTAACTAGAAAATAAGTCGGTTATGAACCTCGAATTTGGGATATATAAAGTCATATATTTGCCCTTGGGCCTCGGGTATAATACATGATTTCTACGTTGTCGGTTTATAACACTTACTTATAACGATTGTTTTAATAGATCTCCTCTCTCAATCATAATGTAGTCTCACATAACATGTTCTTCTAAGTCTAAAGCTGACGAGGATCGATCCTTCATTATGTCCAAATCAGATGAAGTACCTTCACCAGGATAAATTTGAAATTCTGCTGCTGCTGGTGTTGGTAGTCCTGGACGGTCGTCCTCAGCATCTTCATTTTCAGCTACTATAGTTTGCGTTTCAATTTGCACATCATTTTCCACGGCACAATCATTTCTCCTTGTGTGGAAATACAACCCCAAACAAACGATGACAAGCAGCGATACTGCCCCACATGAAACACCAATAGCTATTGCTGATTCGTTGATTTGTTGCCTTGACTTTTTCTCAGATATAACATCTGGAAGATAAAAGTGTTTAGAGGTAAAATTTGACATAGACATGTCATCATTGTCATGCACTTGGACATTGGTGCCCGACTGCTCTTGCCACAAATTCAAATTTTAAATACTGTACTGTTTATTTCTTGTCAGTCTTTGAACATTGACATTGTAGAGTCTGTTATATGTTGTATTGTGACGGTGAGCACCTTGCATGGGACTTTGTGTCTCGTTCGTGTTTTAATTTGGCCGTTTGGGTCTTCTACAAATTGTGCTTATGTTGTTATATAGTTGAGGTTCTGTTTGTCAGTTGTTTTTGTTCCTGTGAGTGTTTGTCATATCATGTTATTTATTTATTTATTTATTATTTATACTTATTTAATTTACCCAAAAACAGGAAGGGCGCACCCACAGAGCCGAAGCTCCAATAACGGGTTCCCCGCGTGAGTTGTAAAATACATAGAAATATTGTATACAAAGAGTTAAACACTAAATAGTGCATCACAACAAAAAACAACAAAAAGTCATCACAGAATATAAAGAAAGGGCACTAGCAGCACAAAGTGTCACTGAGTGAATCCAAAGGACGGGCTTTGTGACATTTGACACAAACAGTCTTGTATGTGTGCGGCAATTCTGGGTTATAAACAATAGAAGTTAATAAAAAATAGTAATTAAATAGACAACGTTTAAACGAAGACAATAAAGTTAAGTTTCTTAAAGATATTGGTAGAGTGTTCCACGTTCTGCATGCTCTGATATAAAAACTGATTTGAAAGGTTACTGTTTTTGATTTGGTAATCTGAAGAAGGAGTCCTGATGTGGAACTAGAGCGTCTGGTTACACGATTTGGTGAATGTAGTTTTATATTTTTGTCGGAATTTTCATAAAGACATTTGAATAGATAAACAAGATCCAGGTATTCATGTCAGTAGGTAATTGGAAGAATGTTGAGTTTAGCGAGTCTTTTAGGATATGAAATATCTGTTTGAAATGGAAGAGATAAAATAAACTTCGTGCTGCGACGCTGAACTCGTTCCAGGGTTTGAATGTCATGGGTGGTTTGGGGTGCCCACACTTGGCTACAGTAACCAAGCTGGCTTCTTACTAGGGCTAAATACAGGGTCTTTCGTACTTTTGGGTCACTTGCATGAAAACACGATCTTTTTACGAACCCCAACATTTTGTTGGCCTTATTTGAGACGGCTTGGACGTTGAGGCTCCATTTAAGATCTTTAGAGACTATAACACCAAGATCTTTTTGTTTGTTGATTGTTTTAAGTAAGTTGCCTCCCACGTTGTAAGAGTAATGGATCGGTTGAGAATTTCTTGTAATGCGAAGGAGACCACATTTAGAGTGATTTAAAGACATCTGCCACTCCTTGCACCAAGAGTCAATAGCATTTATGTCAGACTGCAAGACTTCGGCGTCCTCATGTTTAGCCTTTTAATAGTAGATTTTGTAGAATACTCATCAATAAAATCATGAATTATCCACTAAAAAAAGTTTGGTCAGTTTTCTAATCCTAATCGTTATACCTTAATCTTCATCTGATCGATCCTTATTTGATCCCTTATCTAGCCGTAATCCTTATCTTAATACACTTGCCCTGATCAAGTTAATCTAAATAAAGTTTGATTTAATAATTAATATACCCTCACAATCTCAAATGAGACTAAAGTTTAATCTCCCGACTGTATAGATAGTTTATGATGGGTTTCACTATAAGCATTATCATGCAGCAGATGGTGGCCAACTGCAGTTATCAGATTGAGATAATTAACAATTATTGGATGAGGTTTTTGTGATATGCGGAATTATCAAGGTCGAGGTAAGCGTTATCAGCCGAGTGATTAATCGCCTTCGCCCGCGTGGAAGAATTCCCATTTTCCTCCCACGCGCGCTCTTCACGCGACGCGTAATCTGTACAACAGGTTTGCAACAGGTTCAACTGGTTGAGTTGACGTAAGCATGGATTATTAATAGACTATATATTAATAAATTCATGACGTAAGTAAAAGGGAAATACCCTTGTTGGATTTAATACATCGTGTTTTTTTGTTTTGAAATGTAAAATGTTGAGTATTTCTTATAAAACATACAGTATTTCATCAGATATATAATCAAAGAATAGTATAACTATAATATCTTTTTTCAATGGTTTTGAAACGCCAATGAAATTTACTGTATTTACATTGACATAATATTTTCCTGTTTGTTCGTCATGTGATAAAGTGCTTCGTAATCACAAAACTGTTCGCTGCCGTTTCCGACGTAGTATTTCTGCTCTAGAAATACATTTAGACGATGAAATAAAATGTGAATAACTTAACAATGTTGTGATAAAACGCCGCTCAGTATTGGCCTTTAAAAACTTCGAGAGTACAGTTTAATATTGATTTAATATTGGATAGCTTACTTTTTGTCCAGCTCTGAGTACACTTCAATGGCTTGCTTACCTTTTATGCAGCTCTTCTCACAAGATTCAGCGTCATCGCCTTCACCCTCACAACTCGTTTCAGGATTTTGAGGGCAATCAGAGCAGCTGTCAAGAAAACTCGTTTCAAACTGACCCTCAGGGCACAGCTGTGCCAACACGAAAGCTGTACTGATAACTAGAATCAGTAACTTAAGACTCATCTTCCTCGCTTTCCTGGGTATTAATTTTACATCTTTTTAGATTGAAGTAAAGATATTCGTGCTTTCGCGGTCTTGAAGAATGATAGATGATGAACTTGTTCAATTGTTTTATTGTTGCTGTTCCATTGTGATGTTAATAGCTAATCAAATTACTCAGCATAACAGCACATGATTTTGCCTGCATAATACAGTAAGCATACTAATTAAAATAAATGTGTTTTTTTTTAAATTTGAAAGTGTCTGAATGCCACTACTATAATTTGATACAAAGTGAATACACAACATCTATAGATAAATTTGATATAGCTATTGAAATTTTAAGAGACCAATGCAACTTTGACCACATTTTAATTAATTAATTAATTAATTAATTAATTAATTAAATTATTTATTAAATTTGCCAAACATAGTATACATAACTACATGATTATAGTAGACATACATATAAGTCACAAGATAAGAAACATGCCTTAGAAAAAAAGAAAGTGGCAGTGGCACCGCAACAGCACATATAGCCAATTACTGTAGAATTTTGAAATAAAATATATGAAAAAATAAAAATAATAAAAAATATACAAAAATAGAAACTAGATTGAAAAGTTATAAAAATGTTTTGGCAGTTCTTTCTTCCTGCATTCGTTTGGCTATAAATTATCAATATAATCAAATTTATATCATAAAAATTATCAATGCTTATATTATATATATATATATATATATATAGTACAATCTGCAGACATGCATGTTTCGGCGTTCAACGCCTCGTCAGTGCAGCTTGGTACACGTCTAGATACGTGAGACACTCGTATTTATACCCCATATATATATTTTCAAATATAATATAATAAATATAATCGGCAATGCTTATATATATATTTATAATATAGCATTAAATTTGTAAATCTGAATTGGCTAAGAGCCGTGTTGATATAACTCAATGTCAACACGGAAACGTCGGAAAATTTCTTTCTTTATGTTTCTTTGTGCTGTATTATAAAACAAATATAAAACATTTTTTCCATATTGATATACAGTTATATCAACACGGAAAATGTTTTACATTTGTTAAATATATAATATTTAAATATAATATAATTTAAATATAATGTAACAACATATAATAAATAAAATATAATAATGTAGTAATATAATTAAATATAATACACAATAACCCTTCCAGAAAGTACATCATTTTGGCTATAGAGGCCAAAAATGTGAAATTTAAATCAGTGCATGTACAAATTGTCACTCCACCAGAAACCTTGGAAAAACCATTATAAAGCCATGTTGTTTTTAATCTGTCTAATATGTTTTTGATACAATTACCTCCGCCAGGAGGTTATGTAATCATCTGGGTTTGTTACCTCCGCCAGAAGGTTATGTAATCATCTGGGTTTGTTACCTCCGCCAGGAGGTTATGTAATCATCTGGGTTTGTATGTGTGTGTGTATGTGTGCGTATGTGTTTGTCTGTGAGCACGATAACTCAAGAAATACCAAACATATCCGTACGAAATTTTGTGAGTGCATTTCCCATCGGCTAAGGAAGAACTGATTAAAATTTGGTTGAATTTGGTTAAAAATTGAATGAGAAATAACAAAAGTTTGTCTTGCTTTTCCCGGTCAATTAAATAAAACTTTATACTGAATGCGTAATTAGGACGTGCATAATATATGCACCAGCCATTCAAATTCTAATAATAACAATAGATTACTTCAATATTTTGCACGTAGGCGGAGGTATGCAGTCTCTGAGTGTCCTCTAGTTTGTAAATGTGTTATGTTTGGGCTCATTGTAATTGGCTCCTCAGTGGATACATCCTATCAAGCTGTGATGACTGATGATAACACAGTCACATCCTTTTCTCATTCTTTTGTATGTAATTGTAATCGGCGAAGTTGTATAGATAAATAAATGTAACTAATTTCACTTACATGAAAATGAGGCTCTATAGCCAAAGTTCCTGGAAGGGTCTCTTGCATGGACGAAGGAAAGAATATATAAGAAAGGAAATGTCCAGTGGCATAGCCAGCCCAACAATTTAGTCCCGCTATGCAAATTGAAAATTATTTTCATTATTCGTTTCTTTAGAAATTGATTGGTTTTCACAGTCAATGAACATGAAAATATTTGCATAGCGGGACCAAATCGTCGGACTGGCTACGCTACTGAAAATGTCTAATTAATTTCTATAGAAGATGTTACAACGATTTTAAAAAAAAATTTCTTTGAAGTAACTAGGGGTGCACCGGATTTGGAATTTTCAAATCCGGCCAGAACCGGATTTACCGGATTTGGACAAAAATTCCGGCCAGAATTCCGGCCGGATTTGAGATAAACCGGTAATGGGGACAATTGGGGATAAATCAGTATTCAAAATGGCGGTTTATGTTTTTTACTATTTTTAGTTAGTGTCAGTTTACATTTTTGATTGTGTTTAAACCTTTTTTAAATATTTTTTTGTTAATAACTTAATATTTTATAATAATATAAGTGTTTTTTTAAACTTTAATGCTGCCAAATTGATGGTTTATCTTATTCTTGGTGAATTTTTTAAGGTGAAAACAGAAATTTAAATCCGGCCGGATTCTATCCAAATCCTGCCGGATGCCAGAAAATTCGTTAAATCCAGCCGGAATTCCAGCCGGATTTAAAATCCGATGCACCCCAAGGAGTAACCTTTTATTGTCTAAGTATCTCTCTCCTCTGCATAGCAGAGGCTTACATGAATTTCTTCCCATCACTTCCCATGCACTCGCTTTACTGAAGTTATTTGCAAATACTTAAGCCACAGAATAGGTATAGGGCTTAACTAAATTAAGGTGGCTCTGCAAAGGAGAGAGGTAAAGCATTAGAACAATAACTTAGAAATTGTAGAAGTTTCCTAACCATGTACGTTCATTGACAATCGATTAACAAAGAAGATCCTTGATTATCTTTGTTCAAATCAAGTGCGGTCCCTGCACCATTGTATTGTAGTTCATCTGCTGCTGGTGGTGGTTGTGACAATAGTTGGTTCTCATTTGGACCCCTCATGGTTTCCATTTCGACAGATTCTTCATGTTCTCTGGGAAAACGAGCGGCACGACATCTTTTATTAGTTCTGTGACAATAACATGCCAATAAGAGTAGAAGAGGTATCAGAGTGATCATTGGAATTCCAATAGCCAAAGCTAGGTTCATACCGCTTTGGTCAGATGAATCATCTACGAGATAAAGAGCAAAAAAATGCTAGCAAATGGCAAAAAGTGAACGTCAAAAATATAGGAAGAATAAAGGGAGTATAAAACTTTATAGAAAGGTTGTCCTATTTCCACATATATGTAGTTGCTTACTTTCACAGAAAGTTCCATTCCCATTGAATCCAGTTTTACAACGACAAATGTATGATCCAGGAGTATCCAAACAGTCTGCATTTACATGACACAAAACAATTAAACATTCATCAATATCTGAAAGAAGAAAATGAAAAAAAAATATTGTAAAAGAAAGAAAACTAAAAAGCCAGATTGCACATTGTTTGACACTTACTTGTACACTTTGAAAATCCATTGCCAGAAAACCCAGGATTACATTGACAGCCATAAGAACCTTCACTGTCAGTACAGCTGGCATTGACATGGCAAGGTTTGCTCAGACATTCATCAATGTCTAGAAAACAAGAAACAATATACCAATGATGATAATAATTCACTGGTACATTGATCTCATGCAATCAACAGAATCTTATAAACATTGTGAAAGTGAAATCAGTTTTTGCTTAGTGTACTCCTTCAAACCGTATATATGTACTCACTTGTACTCCTTCAAACCGTATATATGTACTCACTTGTAATAATAAGAAAGAAAACTAAAAAGCCAGATTGCACATTGTTTGACACTTATTTGTACACTTTGAAAATCCATTGCCAGAAAACCCAGGATTACATTGACAGCCATAAGAACCTTCACTGTCAGTACAGCTGGCATTGACATGGCAAGGTTTGCTCAGACATTCATCAATGTCTAGAAAACAAGAAACAATATACCAATGATGATAATAATTCACTGGTACATTGATCTCATGCAATCAACAGAATCTTATAAACATTGTGAAAGTGAAATCAGTTTTTGCTTAGTGTACTCCTTCAAACCGTATATATGTACTCACTTGTACTCCTTCAAACCGTATATATGTACTCACTTGTAATAATAAGAAAGAAAACTAAAAAGCCAGATTGCACATTGTTTGACACTTATTTGTACACTTTGAAAATCCATTGCCAGAAAACCCAGGATTACATTGACAGCCATAAGAACCTTCACTGTCAGTACAGCTGGCATTGACATGGCAAGGTTTGCTCAGACATTCATCAATGTCTAGAAAACAAGAAACAATATACCAATGATGATAATAATTCACTGGTACATTGATCTCATGCAATCAACAGAATCTTATAAACATTGTGAAAGTGAAATCAGTTTTTGCTTAGTGTACTCCTTCAAACCGTATATATGTACTCACTTGTACTCCTTCAAACCGTATATATGTACTCACTTGTAATAATAAGAAAGAAAACTAAAAAGCCAGATTGCACATTGTTTGACACTTATTTGTACACTTTGAAAATCCATTGCCAGAAAACCCAGGATTACATTGACAGCCATAAGAACCTTCACTGTCAGTACAGCTGGCATTGACATGGCAAGGTTTGCTCAGACATTCATCAATGTCTAGAAAACAAGAAACAATATACCAATGATGATAATAATTCACTGGTACATTGATCTCATGCAATCAACAGAATCTTATAAACATTGTGAAGTGAAATCAGTTTTTGCTTAGTGTACTCCTTCAAACCGTATATATGTACTCACTTGTACAATTCACTCCATTCCCAGAAAACCCAAAGTTACATTTACAGTCGTGAGAACCTTCAGTGTTGGTACAATTGGCGTTGGGATGGCATGGTCTGGTCAAACATTCATTGATATCTAAAAAAAGAAATATATTAATTAGCAGAAAGTTACAAAATTTTAGACAATGAATGAAAGATTTACTTTAGAACAATTCAATCGATTTCCAGAATATCCACTATTACGTTGACAAACAAAGGACCTTCAGTATTTTTCGTATTTTTACTATTTTTAGATCAGCGCCAGTTATAGTGCCTCGCAGCATAGCTCGCAGGCATCGCCTATAAATTGGTGGGCAGAATTTGCTTGCGGTTAAGCGGCTTCCCAAGAGTAGGGGCTTTCCCAGTGTAGAGTTAATATGGTTTATACCAAGTTTTTGCTTTAGAAACCATTTAAATTAGAAATAAAATGTGAATAACTTTCATACGTTATATTGTGGTAAGTTGAACGTGGTTATTTCGTCGATAATTCATATCCAAAGATAACTAGCACCCTCAATATCGGCATCACACATTATAAATTCAAAGCACTTAATATATTGTGCGTTAAAAACCTCGAGAATACTGCTTAATATTACTCACCTTCAATACAAGCTTGTTCACACGACCCAGTGTCTGCTCCTTCGCCTTTACAGTTGTTTTTGCTGTCTGGAGGGCAGATGGAACAGTCGTCCGTGAACGACGACTTATACGTCCCTTTGGGACACAGCGGTGACGTCGCTTTCGCCAAAACTATATTGACAACTAGAAACTTGAGTATGGCCCTTAACGTCGCTTTATGACCTTTATACTTCATTCTTTTTAGAGTAAATTCTACCTGACTCGTATATCATTGCCACACGAAATTGATAAGACAAAATAAAATATTTTTTCATCTGACTTGCTTTTGTATGGACGTATCACGTATATGAATATTCTATTATTATGTGCATATAATCATGACGCACGAAATGACTCAGCAAAGTTCATTTTCTAGTCTAAAGGCTGCCTTAAGGGCTGCTTTCTAATTTTAAGCGTCATACATCCATTTAAAAGTTTCTTATGAAATAAGTCAAATAACTAAATGTCCTAAATGAATAAAAGGACAGCGTTTAGTTTTGTGTGTGATGTAATGCAACCTATGACGTATTTCCCATAGAAATTAATAATAAATATCTATTATTTCTTAAAAGTGCTTACGCCACGCAATTTTCAATCCATCAAATCATTAGGTATTTTTGCAAGCTTGCAATTTTAATTAACAGCCAATCCCGATCTTGGTAACAATTACTGTAAAACGTATGTAAAACGTTGATTGGCTGTCTAATATTAGAATTGTAAACATGCAAAATATGTGGGGGTGATCATAGACATTTGTGGGAGTGGCGCCGTGATTCACTAGAGGTTGCTCACTCACTTTGCCTCGCCCGCTTTTAGGTGTTTTTGCGGCGGGCTGACTGACACGCAGGCATGTGACGCAGCTGAAAACATATTTTTTCACAGAGATGTTTTCAGTATAATGCATACTTACATGACGTATAAGCTCTGTTTTACAACATGGCGCCAATTTTAATGACTTTCACTTTTGTAATTATTCTTTATTTTATTTCGAAATGAACTCGTTCTACAACAGTTTTTAGTCGTTGAATAATGCATCCAAGAAACAAATATTATAAAAATCCTGCAGACTTTGGAAAACTGGGAGAAAAATGTCCTGAATTTCGCAAATATTTGCTGGCAACATCATCTGGCTATACTATCAATTTCAAAGATCCGAAGGCTCTGAGGGAATTAACTGTATCTTTACTTCATCATGACTTTGGATTGAATGTTGAGCTACCTCTAGATAGACTCATACCCACTGTGACATTAAGATTGAATTATATTCACTGGATTGAGGATTTACTTCAGATGCTGCCTGCGGGAGACATGTGCCAGACTACAGGTATTGATATTGGTGAGTAATGCCCTCGTCAAATGAGGATGAAAGTCAATGAGAGTTGTCTTGGTCATGTTTGACTGCCAACTTGTATTGACTCTTGACAGCAAGTCTTGTTCTCGT